GGTCCGGTGGTCCCAGTGTTCCCTAGCCTGGAGGTCTGAAGTCCAGGGGTTTCTGTTCTCCAATCTCAAGTAGTCTCAGTGCTCCCTAACCCAGTGGTCCCAAGTCTGGTTGTCTCTGAGGCCTCGTCTGGTGGTCCTGGAGGTGCTTCCCCTGTCATCAGTGCTTCCAGTAATAGCTACTGTCATTTTGTGTGTCTGGTCCATACACTTCCCCAACTCCCTAGAGGGCCGCCCCTGAGTCCTCAGAGTTCCCTATCATGGCCAGGAGGACCGTCCCTCACTCCTCAGAGTTTCCCTTCACCAGTAGGGCCATCTCTGACTCCTCCGACTGCTCATTTACTGCTAGGTGGGCCTTCCCTGAACGCCTTGAGTTACCTGCTGGTCATCTGCTCTGTCGTGGCCTCCAGATCCCCAGCGGTCTTCTGTTCCACCCTGGAGGTCCCCTGTTCAGTCGCCGCAGCCTAGGTCTCCTCCTCTGGTGCCCCCCTGGTGTTCTCAGGCTCAGCCATGGTGGTCTTCTGTTCTGCTGTGGTCACCATCTCAGCCGGCTTTGCTGTGGTGGTCTCCTGATCCCCAGTGGTCTTCAGCTCCACCCTGGTGGTTAGCTGAAAATGGCCTAATTTATATTAATGAAAATGTGAGGTAATTACACTGCAATGTATAAAGGAAGCAACTGTATGTAAACTGAGTTTTTGCTTTGTTTATGCTGCTGCCATCTATGTGATCTCATGGAATGTCTCTACAGAGTACTCAGTATGACATGTTCAACTTTCGTTCTAGTTTTTTTCTAAAGCAGATATGACATCAGGAGCATGTCTGCTGGATTGTTACTGAAAGTTTGACCTCGTGATGTGAAAATACAACCCCTCTCATGTAGAGGAACAGCAGACCCTCTCCAGCCAGCCAACTCCCTGAAAGCATGCAATCCAGTGCCATTTTACATTGCCAGAGAATTCAGTTCTAGAACACTAGAGCTAGCTAGCGTTGGCTTAGACAGTGTGTAGAAGGGTTATATTACCCTACAGGAATAAAACGCTTCCCTCTGTTGATGTGAGTCCTGCCAATTACATGTCACTGGTGCTAGCTTTCGCAATTCCTTGGCCTTGAGGAAAAAGATTTAACCCTGTAGTTTCTCATTGACCTTTCACCGATAGCTTCCTAGATTGTTCCAAAAAGTATCCCTTAGGTCCAAGGTATACCTTAGGTTTACAGTGCCTCAAGTGAGGAATGTGTAAAGGAATTACTTTCGCCCACTAGCCTCAGTGTAACACGTTTTTATAATCTTGTTTACTTGCTCTTGTCTTGTTGCATTGCAAAGTTTAAGTTTCAGACAGTCAGACATGCGAGAATGTCGATGCAGAGATTTTGAGTCCAATATTAATATGCTCAAGTGTCCATGTTCCCTTACTCTGTTCACCCTCCCTATTTCTCTTGTTTGCACTCCTTCTCTATTCTATAGTCTGCTTATCTTCCTCCAACATAATTTTTCCATGTTCCATTTCTCCTAGCCCAACCCATCCTCTTTTTAGTGCTGCTTGTATAACCTCCTTAGCTGTGCTGTTTTTTTATGTTCTCTAATTCATCTGCTCTTTTGTAAGCCAAAATCAGACTTTCCGCATCTATAAACTTCCCACTCTTCATTCATCATATGGCAGGTGTGACATTCTTGGGAGTTTAAGCACCCAAAATGTTCATTCCCAATTTGCTGATGGAGTGTCCATCTGGAGCACTTAACCCCAGGGAGGGCTGTTCCTGGAATTGTTGTGGTATTTGCTGTTTTGGATGAAAACATCCTCTGGATTTCAAAATGATAACTAACATTATAACTTGCACACTTTCAGTTGAGGAAGGATTGCTGCATGTGTTTGATCATGAGAGCAGCATTGCTCACATTCCTTGCTCCTCTTATTCAGGTGTTGTTTTCTGTCTGCAGCTGATCTAAATATACTGGCAGGGTGAAAGACACACCCTGTGGTGCCCAGTGTTGAGGACTTCTTATCATTGCAGTGTAGCGAATCAGCTCATGGGGAAATATGAATAATTAATCAGGTTTTCCTATGGATTAATTAGTAGAAAAGTCCATTTCTACTGTGCATTGTGCCTCTTGCTATGGAACATGCAGTGATTTTCCCTACTCACATTCCATCAGGTCATAAATGGCTCTGGTCTTAGCAAAGGTGTCGGGGTTGCCATGGTAACCAGTGGCCTGTGGTCATTCGCAGACATCCTGGCGCCCAGTCTATTGGGTGAGGGGTCTGTGACGACTTGTTAATCTAATGAATAACTGATTTGTTAAATCAAATGAAAAATTGTGTTTTTGATTGGTCCAGACGCTACACGGGGTTTGGGTTACATTCTTCAGTACTTGATGGGCAAAAGTGTGCTTAGACCAGTGGTTTTCAAACTGGGGTCCAGGGTCCAGCTTGGGGATCCACACATTTTTTTACTGAAAAGTATTTTTAAGGCTGTCAAAGTTAATGAATTAAGATAATTAATGTTTAATGCAATAATTTAGCACACATTTGATATTATAACTTCATACTCCTTTCTAAAAATTGCTAATAAATCATTAGATCAATCACAACTATTTTACTATATTGACAGCCCTGTGAGTAACTGAAAAATCTTTTTTTAGTTAAGTTTATACAAAAGAGAGTAAAAACGATGTCAACTGTCATCTTAATACGAAGAAAATATTTTATTTATAATATTTTAGCAATCATTCTTTATTTCTTGACAATATTTGGCGAATGTAACTAACCTAATTTGATTATGTATAATTATTTAATTTTGAAACATGGTGTCCTTATATAATACACTTGTTGTTTTTCTTACAAAGTATAATGAACATTTATCTATAGTGACTTTTAAATTTTAGGAAAGGGGTCGCTCTCAAGGGCATCGCCATATTTAGGGTCCCTGGCATCAAAAAGTTAGAAAACTCCTATCTTAAAAATGGTTCAAATTTCACTGCACAAAAATCAAACAAAAAAAATCTAAATAGCTCGAAGCAGCCTATAATCTTTTAGAAGTATCTTATGAAACTGACTAGGATAATTTAACCAATGTTTGGCAAATTTTTGAATAAGATGTATGTCTATCATTGGTCAAATTCATATGGCTTCTATTAAAATCCATTTTGCTTGATTAAATGACACGTTCAGTGTTCAGTTTTTAGTCTTGGTCTGGGTATGTGCTGCCCTCTTACCTTACTGGTTCTCTTTAAGACAGTTTGTGCTTTTTGGAGGAAGTTTTAATTCATTTGGAACAGAATTCACACATTGTCACACCACATATGCCTATAACCTAGCTAACCTTCCACATCTGTGGAATATATGTCTGCCATTTCCTGAGCAAGATTCCTGTGTTATTGTTTGGATTTTTACTACGAGTGGAAACATTACTAGAATGCATTGTGTTTTTCTAACATGGGAATTAGTACATGTATTAGTATATGTGTGCATTTGGGTATGTGCGAAAGAGAGCAAGAGAGAGGGCCTGTTTTCTGAGTGCTAAAGCTGTTAAGCTTATTATGTAACAGCCAAGTGCGGTCATTTAAGATGGGATCTCACAGAAACAGGTGGATTACTGTCAGGTGCTCAGGGAGAATAGGATGCATACTATATATTACTGGGATTGTAACAATTTTACTGCTCAGAAGTTGCTTTTTTAGAGCCAAACGTTTTCTATTTTTCAACTTATTTTAAAATGTTTCTCCTTTTATTCACTATAAATAAACAGACAAAAATGTGCCAATTGTTGCCATACAGTAAGAATATAGAGCAATAAAATGAATGTGGATAGCATAGTCCAGATTTGCTCTTGAATTTGAATTGACAGTGTTTCCTTCTGTACTGGAAAAAAATGTTACATCTATTTATATTTGGATTTTACAGGGCAAATTTTATTTTGTATTTATTTGTTACACAAACACGTTAACAAACTTCAGCTGTGGTTGCCAGAATTTTACTGTAAAAAATACAGTAGCAACTTGATTTTAAATTTGCTGTAAAAAACTAAGATATAGAAGGTGCACACAAATGAAAAACAACATTATGGTAACAAACGTGACTAAATAATGCAATAAACGTTATCAACATAAGATGTAACTTATAGCCCTAAGGTACATAAATGATTAAAAAAATGTAAATGGAAAAACCATAAAATGTGGCTTGTCACACAGGGAATTCTGGGAATGTCCATTTACTGTTTTTCACTGTAAATTATAAAATGACTTCTTCTTTTCCACTTCCAAAAAAACCCTGTACATTATTTTACTGGAAAATTACATGAAATGTCCCATTAGATTTATTACAGTTTTTTATGCTATATAGTAAGGAAACTTAATGTTAACTAATTAACAGTTTTTTTTACAATAGCATTTTAGAGTGTTTTACTGTTAAAATTATACTAGCAGACAAATACAAGGACTGAAGAAAGAGGTGCACTTGTTTTTGTCTATTATTCAGAATGAGATATCTCAGCTTTGGACAGACAGAAAGAAAAGCCATGGGAGAGAAGGAAATTCCACAGTTGTCATTTACCTCAGAGGAGGTGGAAAATGGATCGGCCCTGAGAATGATGTCATCGGAGCGTGTCTGTGTGTATTATGTTCCTGATGTGGTTCCTGTTTTAGTGGAAAAAGGACTGAGAAAAGGAAAGAGAGAGTGGGGAGAGATGGAGGGAGTCAATGAGGGAGAGGGGAAAATTAAGGGAAGGTTGTGTTTCATTTTGTTTTGTCCTCCCCACTCATGCACCTGCACGGTCTCCAGTCTCCATGTGCCTGGATGATGTCATGGTGTGCTGATTAGAAACACAACAATTACTCTGCTCACATAAACAAATGGACACACACCCAAACGCATGATTTGTGTAGTCATAATGGATTTTTATTGACAACTAGGGATGTAATATGCACATTTGTTCCTCAAACCAGTTAAGTGCAAACCCTGCCCTGCCGCAGATTTTTAAGATTTAACTGTCTCTCTTTTTTTCTGCAGTTTGTGGATGTGACTTGGCTCAGGGAGGCTTTTTTGTGCGTCAGGGTGATTATATCTGCACTCTGGATTATCAGCGACTCTATGGCACCCGCTGCTTCAGTTGTGAAGAGTTCATTGAAGGGGAAGTTGTGTCCGCCCTGGGCAAGACATACCATCCACGCTGCTTTGTCTGTGCCATCTGCAAGTAAGACACACGTGCAAACACACTAACATACATTCACTTTGGTACTTTTAAGTTTTAGCTTTATATTTTCAGCTGAACATTTTGATTTGGATAAGGTACAGCAGCAGTAAACAAACTTCAAAATGTTAATTACATAGTTCACTTAATATCAGTTTTATCAGTAAGGAATAATTGAGCATTTTAGACAAATGAGCATTTTAAGGTCAAAATCCTGAGTACTATCTTGAAATACAACATCTGAACAATGTCTAGAATGCCCATTGAATTATTAGAAAATAACCTTGGGTGTGCATTATTTTCTAATAATTCAATGGCCCGTTGTCAATTATTCCACTTATACTACGGTTACCACACCTCTAAACATTGTTCAGATGTTGTATTTCAAGATAGTCGTCAGGTTTTTGTCTTTAAAACATTCTTGCGTGTAGGATTAATTTCTTTCGCATCTCATCCCACGCCTCCGTTGTTAGTTCCAAAACATTGTTTTAGATCTAGCAACGGAGGCTTCATAACCTCCTTGTTCTACAGATCTGTGTACCAGTGTTAAATGCTACTGTTTTTGATAGCATTGATAACATTTCTAACAGATAATAACATGATGTTTTTTTGCGTTTGCCTTACCGTATGTGGGATTCTGTCAGCAATAACATGTCTGTGAGCCTTTTTGATTTCTGTCAGTTTAAGTGCCGGCGATGCAGTTGACAGATATTGCTATGAAAACAGAAACTAAAAAAAACAACAACAAAAAAAACCAAATGGTCCCACTTTATATTAAGTGGCCCTAATACATGTGTACTTACATAGTAACTAGATGTGTACACATTATGTAACCACAGTGTAAGTACACACTGGTACATAGTATCTACAGCTGTAATGTTTGTGTAACTACACATATGTAACAACCCACTGAATGGTATGTGTAAATACAAATGTGTAACAGGACATTGGTAACAGCACTTTTTGGTAATGAAAGTACAAATGTGTAACAGGACTAACGGCACTTTTTGGTAAAGATACTATGTATCAATGTGTACTTACACTGTGGTGACATACTATGTACACATCTTGTTACTATGTAAGTACACAGGTATTAGGGACACTTAATATAAAGTGGGACCCGAAATTGACCTTACGCAAAGACCTGTCCCTCTTTGTTACTATTGCTATGTCCAAAAGCCATGGCGTTCTCATGCCACACATCTTCTCAAGCAGTAAAAATACTTTGCGGAGCAAAGAGGACACTGGCAACGTGCTGACAGACAAGACAGAGCAGGTTACTTTAGGTATGAAACAAAGTCTAATTTCTCGCCTCATTTCAAGCGGCATGTGAACCGATCATCTCTTCCTCTTTACTAGTTATAGCACGAAATAAACAATGAACATCAAAGGGTATCTTGATTCAACGCAGAAAGATGTCAATACACACTGTTTTTCAAGTTCAAGTCCACCAACGTTAAAGGTGCTGTGTGTAAGTTTTTGACTCTACTAAAGCATAAAAATACCATAATATGTTTGCAGATATTTAAGAAACATGCTAAGTTAACATATTTGTTTATCTGAAAAACAATGCTACAGTCAGGTATTCTCTTTTGAAAATGTGCGTTCCGGGCCAGAATGTCGGTCTCTGTTTTGGTTTGTGAAACCCGCCCACTGCCAGTTTACCCAATTGTATTTCGTTCCTGTTGGTGTCCTCAATCTGGCAACCTGCAGAGCAGGAGGGGCCGGGTGAAAAAAAACCCTCTCCAATATTTTGAATTTGGACTGCAATACCTAGTTCAACCACTCGGTGTCAATCCTACATACAACACCTTTAAAGGTGCACTAAGCGAATTTTGCAAAACGATATTGATATTTGAAAGCACCAAAACAAACATGCCCATACCCCAACAGGACCTCGCCCCTATTTTGATAACTCCGCCCCACACGTATGAACACAACCCTGGCAGCGATGATGGCGGAATCTGCTATGCCTTTCGACCGAGGGTATGATGTCATCAATAAGTGAAAGCAATGTGTGTTACTATGGTAATTCAACATAAAAATCAATGTATCTCACTTATCAAGAAGAAACAAAGCAAACTTGCCATTTATTCCAGGCCTTCCCGCTCCTTGAGTTCTCTCCACCGCTGGAAAGCTGCTCCATTATTTACGTGGGTCCTAACTTTTGCCTGATCGTAACCCTTCTTTTTAATGTTTTGCTTCTCCAAAATTTTCCTATTTTTTTATCTGCCATCTCTCGCTATCTATAGTCGATCTCTGAACGCTCTCTTCTCTCTATCATTAGTAGACACGCCCCTTACTGCTGATTGGCAGCGAGTGTGTTTTGTGACTCGGTCCGATACTGTGGTCAAAAGCGTTTTTCAAATATTGCTTAGTGCACCTTTAATCTACTCTCCAGTCTTGTTTGTTTGTTTGGCAGATTCGGCGTTATGAGTGGTCAGATCACCTGTCAATTAAACTTCCTGTGAAGGGTCAATTAGTTCAAATCTTTTGCAAATAAGATAAGATAAAGATATCACTAACCCTAAACTGCTACTTCCCACTTTATTAACTTTCTAAAGTGTCAAATTAACTGGAAAAGACAAGTCCAAAGACGCTTATAATAGCAGGATCTGGCAACATGGTGGAGGCTATGCCCTCACTCACAACTTCACTCCGCCAACGTCTCACAGCCATCATTTTTATACCATGGATGCTAAACATTCTTGCAAACTGTCTAAATTTAATTATACATGCAGACACTCATATGAGCAATTTTAAACAGCAAATTACTCATTCAGAGAACAAATTTTATTTTTTCCTCATGAGGTCACCTCAGTGACCTCATAACTGGCTACGGCCATGGGAGGCTTGAGCCATTGATAGGCGACTAATGCATTTATTAATTTTGTTATTACAGAGAGAGAGAGAGAGAGATTAAGCGTGTGTGAATTACCTCTTTGTGTCTGTGCGTCTCTCAGTAATGTTCAGCAGCAGCATCTCTACTAATAAAAATAAAACACATTTCTGTGCGCATGTGTGTTTCTGTGTATGCGAGTGTGTGTCCTTACTGTTACTTGTGTGTGTTTGTATGAGAGAGAGAGCGGGAGAAAGAGAACATGGAAATCATTTGTCGTTTTTATATTGTTATTAACTATATTTATTTGCTTGGTCAGTGTATTTGCGGGGTTTGGTTCTTTTGCTGTTGTAGGCTGTAAGGACCTTTGAAATAACTGAAATCATTTGGTGGAGTGATATAGACATGTAGCACGGTCAAGACCTGCCTGGAACTTTAGCCATGCGTTTCCCTGAAAATAATAGCACAACGTTCGTCAGCCAGTTATTCATTATTATTCATAATTATTATTACATATTTTTATTTTATTATGAAATAATACATATTTTTATTGCAATTAGTTTATATTTATTATTACAAATACAAAACTTTTAAAAGCTTTTAGATGACAAATCCTGCGTCAAATGCATCTTTATCAAATTCAGCACTTCCTGCATGCAGGGTTTTGCCCTGGATGCACAAAATCCATTTGTATCTCATGGAGATTCAAACTAAATGTACTTATTCTGTTTCAATGTATGCATTCATGCTAGCTTATGTAGCTGCCATTTGTGGTGTTTTGTTTTGAAATGTTCTGCCACTGACTGTGTGTGTGAGTGAATTTTATGGGAAGGCAATCTTGTTACTTAGGGAGAGGAAGGAAGGGGACCCATCAGCTTTCAGTAAGAATGTTAAGTGTATGCTCTGCTCCCAGGCCACTTATTTCCAGAGTGGTGTAGTGTGTCCCTCAGTCTCTGAATGGATGTTGTGTATGTGCATGTGACATGTTGCTCAGAACGAGTCCCTCTTACATTTCCATAGCGATGCCCATGTTTCTGTGGACACAATTGGTATCTTGGGTGCGACTGGATCTTAAATCACCTCGTAAATATCTCATTTGTAGTTACTCTGGATGACTCTATCCAACCTATTCCAACACATAGTGTTTCTTTGCCAATAAGAAATTAGTATTACTGCTATTATTATAACTATAATGGCAGGCTAGTAGGTCTACAGAACAGCTTTTGCTTTTAAATGATGACATTTTTACAAACTAAACTGGGCTAAAAACCACAGCAACAGAGTATTTGTTGTTATACCAAGAAAAACAGACAACCAGCATCCAACCAACATAGAGTAGCACATAAGATTGAAATTCAGAATCAGGCAATAGTGTGTTAATAGGACTTAGACATTCACTCTACCATTGGGTGATGAGAGCATGAGAGCTGATGATCAACATACCGTGATATCATCAGCTCTCGTACTGAACTATCAGCCAAAGAGATGATTGGACATGTGCCATCAAGCCTGTCTTATGATGGCCTGCTTCAACTAAGAGGTCTTATGCCTGCCATATTCATTGTGCTGTAGCACCAGAAAATTATTTAATGTAATAGTATTAGATTAATTCACATTAAACTTCTGTGAAATGTAAAAGGTATTTTCGCAGTGTGTTTTCATACACTGTAAAATCAGTGAAATTGACCAAGACTATAAATGCTGCATGCTGCTTTATTTGAAAAGTAATAAAAATGTTAGTTAATTTGATCTTTGGAATTTTATTTTTTATTTAATATGGTTAAGTTTAAGCTGCACAGTGTATTTCAGTAGTGATTATAGTTATTTAATATTAGGAAAATAGTTTTTTTTTTTTTTTTTAGTAAACTCAAATGAATTAAGTTACAGTACTCCAAAATATTGTTTTTATTTTTTTTACTTTAATTGGTTTAAGGCAATCAGTTTAAACTGAATGGGCTGTCAAGCTCTAAAAATAACAAAAAAAAAAGCATCAAAAAAGTAGTTCAAAGGTTTGCAATTCTGTATGTGACACCTTCAATCTTTTGATTGGTTTTTCTGTGTGAAGGACAGACTGAAATGTAAGTAATTATTCGCTAAAACCCTGTCTACAGCTCTGAAATCTCATTTACATATATGTATAATATTGCATGCAAAAACCTGTTACAGCAGGTCTGACACCAGTGATGCCAAACAACATTGGTTGTCATGTGTGTCATAACTGGTTGTGATGTGGTAGTTTGAATATGCAAACATCCAAATGAGTATTTTTTGGAGATTGACAGCATCCATTCTCATTTCTTTTAAATTTATTCTAAATGTCTCCTTTAGTAAATGGAAAGCTTCATTTTTTGAGTACATGTAAATTATATTTTGGGTGAACCAGGCCTTTTAGAATGCCTTTGCTTATGCTGAGTTATTTGATTTAGTTTAAAAGATTAACAAAGCAGTAATCATCTTACAATGTTTGCCAACTGCAAATATGCTAAAATGTTTAGCTTTATCACCCTTTTGTGAGTTTTTCATAATGTAGTGCCCCTGCATCTGAGCCTAATTGAAAATGGTCTGAGAAACTAGTTTAAAGTTCATCCTTATGTGAAAGTGACTTTATAACTTTAGTGAATGATGAGGTGACTGTGTGTGTGTGTGTGTGTGTGTTTCTGGCAGGCAGCTGTTTCCAGCTGGGGGCCGCGTGACGTTTAATGGGAAGGAGTGCGTTTGTGAGAAATGCATCCAGCCAGTCAACAGCACGGCACCCCCACAGGCTGTGCACAGTAAGTACTCTGTGTTTCTGCATTGCAATCTATTCCATTCTATGTTAGCCTCTTTCTCTTACACGCACACACTCACTCACTCATTCATTTCCTAAATGTCTGCAATGACAGCTTTCCCTGCCATTTCATTAGTAAAACACTACACTTTTGTTTCGCCCTCTCTGCAGATTGCTGTGGCTGTGGAAAGGAGTTTAAAAGTGAGCAGTCTCTGGTGGCGTTGGACAAGCACTGGCATCTTGGCTGCTTCAAGTGCAAAGTGTGCAATAAAGTGCTAAATGCAGAATATATCAGCATGTTAGTCCCACTCTTACTCTTCTCTGCATGTGAATGTGTAGATGGGTGATTGTGTGTGCTTTATCGATCGTAGTAATGTGATATGGTAATTTGCAAGCCTGCTGAACCTTGTAGAATGACTCAACGTTATTGATCTGCTCTAATATAAAAGAACAGGGGATTCTCAAGACCAGAGAGCATACAGAGATATGTCACCATCCTTGAGTTCAAGTGAAATACATCATGTGTGTTGATGTTCTGCAGGGACGGGATCCCCTACTGTGAGGCAGACTACCATGCCATGTTCGGTATCCAGTGTGACACTTGCAAGAAATACATCACTGGAAAAGTACTTGAGGTTTGAAGAAATCTTTTCTATTTGTTGGGTGTCCTTTAATGAACAGATTCATTAATAGATGGAAGTAAATGAATGGATGGCTTAATAATATTGTTAACATTGATTAAAGTGCACATGAAATCAAAATGAACCTTCTTTTCTTTTCTTTTTTTCAAGACCAGAAAAAAAAGTTGAAGATTGAAATATTAAAATCAAAAGTTTGAGCCAGTGTTATTGATATACTATTATAGCATTTAATAATTTTTTTAATTAGCTTTTATTTTTAGATTCTGTTAGATGTTTTAGTTTTTAATTTTGGTTTAGGTTTTAGTCATTTTGTTTTGTGTTTTCGTACTTTTTATTAGTTTAAAAAAAAAAATTTCTGTTTAGCTGTAGTTTATTTTTTTTTCTATTTTAGTTTTTGTGATTTTAGCACTTCAGCTTCAACTTTTTATTTATTTATTTCAGGTAGTGGACAAGGCAACCCTTCTAATTTTCATTTAAGTTTTTAATCTAATTTTTATATATTTTTTCCAGCTTTATTACAAAAATGAACTAAAAGGTTTTCCTTTACAGTAACAACACTGGTTTGTACAGGATATATTGAAGGGTTCATCCAGTTTTTTTTTTTAATAGCCAATAGACTTTAGTTACATGACAGCCATGAATGATGTGGAGGGAGGAACATTCTCATTCTAGAGAACATTTGATTGGACAAAAATCTGCAGTACAGGATGAGTCATCATTATTTTTATTTTGATTCATTTTCTTAGAAGAGACAGACTTCAAATTTAACTTGTCATGGCTCTCCAGTGCGACCATTTCAGTCGCATTTGTGACTGAAAACTACTGCGTGTGACTATGAAAATATATTTAGGAGCACCAGTGCGACTGACCCGATCAGCATATTTGTGTTTGAGCTCAGGGGAGCTTCAAAGGTTTCTACTCACAACGTGTTTTTGCAGCGTTGAGTAATGTAGTATCACAGACATATCTCTTGACTCCTTGAACGCAATTAATGTTAATCAGAATCCACTCACTCAACAACGTTTTGTTCAGTGCTGAGTTACGGAAGCTCACGAATCCTCTCATTATAACAAAGTGTAGACATGATGTAAATAAGAGATTCATTCTGCAGTGTAGGGAGCTTCGTTGACTATAAAGGAACTTTGTGAGATTGTAGTGAACTAAGGTGAGTGACAGCTTTTAATGATTATTAACAGAGCAAATATGATATTGATTTAATACAACAGTTCAATAAACAAGAAGTTAATAATAAGTGACTTACATTGTCTGACTACACGCTACTAAGTCATTGTCTGACTAAACACTATTGTCTGATTTTGCTCTATTTCGTCAATGAAAATAGTTTCAAACAATAGTTAGCTGAGCCACTACACATCTCCAAGCAAACACAGTGGTGTTTCATTTATGAATGAACGTGCGTTTTTAATCGAATCTAGCGAGTCAATGATTCAATTACCCATTCATAAAGACAGTCACTTGCTTCATTCCTGAATGAATCAGCAGCTCGAATGAATCAATTGAATGAATGATTCAGTGATAAAATCAGTGACTTGCCACCACCAACTGGCAGTTTTAGTTTCATTTTAAAAATATAATTTCAGTTATTTAAATCATTTCATATTTCTATATTCAAAATATTATATTTAAAACATTAATCTCAACATGAATTTATGAATTTAATTGCACTCATGCCACCTCTGAGCCTCATTAAACGTCTGGAAATATACCTACATGCCACTTTTGTGTTTTTCTGTGCCACCTCTGTAGTGCAAATGAATTTTGTTAATGCTGATTTCATTTGATTGCTAACTTTTTCATATTCTACTTCTTATTCTATTGCTTTAATTAGAAATTTTGAAAAAGCTTATAACATTTTTGAATTTGACATAAAAGATGACATACTTTTAATAAAGTTAGAAAATATGTAATTACAAAAGTAAAAAAATGCCCCTGTAAATCACTTTAAGGAGTCAGAAATCACCTCGTAATGGGAAGGCTAATTTTTGTTATTGATCAAAAGGTGCTCCTGAATTTTTCGACTGTGCTCCTAAATTTTTTAAATTAGGAGTACAAGTGCTCCTAAAAAGAAAAGAAAGCATTGAGCCCTGCTTGTGCATTTCTGTTAAAAAAAAAAATTTGTCAACTTTTAAGAGTGCACTGGCATAAAACCTAGATGGTTTCAAAGTGAAATGACAGAGAAATAAAGCCACAAAACTAATTCTGGTGTGATTCTGGCCACTTATCATGACGCAGTTAATTCCCAATTGATACTATTAAGTCCCGCTTTTCTTATCAAATATTCTGTTTCACTCTGAAATATGTCACATGAGTAAAATGGATTGTTAATGCTTCAGGCTTGTACTCTATAATCCCAGTGGTCATATAGGGCAGAAACTGAGTGGGTGCTTACAAAGACAATCTCAGACAGTCAATTCACAACCCATCTGAAGCCTAATTACAGTATAGAACAATATATCTCCTCATATTGCATCTCCCTCTCACTTTTTCTGTTTTATTCACTCTTCCTCATTTTTCTTTAAACAGCTATTTTGTTACACCCCAACAAGCACCCTATTGATGTAGTTGTTTTTTTGTATCTGCTAAGTTTCCCATTGGGTGGTCTCATATGAATAAGAATTGCTTGTAGAAATAATTGTAAGTTAGGTGTGTATTTCATATCTGTCACATATACATACATAACTACAGCTTTGTGTACTTTGAAGCTCTATAAATAAGTGTATCTGTGTGTGTCAGGAGTGGGACACTGTTGCTATAGTGACTGTCCACTGGCACTGCCACTTGCTCTCAGTAACCCAAAATTAGTTCAAATCACTGTGACATCATGGTTTAGGATGGTAGTTTTAACTGCACAATTTCCACGCCAAGTGCTTTGAGCAGATGTAAATTAAATTAAGTCGTGCAAAACAATATCTTGGCATATACAGTGGGTACGGAAAGTATTCAGACCCCCTTAAATTTTTCACTCTTTGTTATATTGCAGCCATTTGCTAAAATCATTTAA